TGAAGCGTATGTAACCTGAAGCATATGTAACCCGAGGTACCACTGTACTGGATTATCTCACACATCAAAGTCACAGGTGTAAATAAAATTTCCTAGGCCTTATAGTTTTTGAGTTATGTGTATGGGGGGTAAAATTAGGGGGAGATTGGGAAATGTTATAGATGTGCATAGTGCACTGGTGTCTGATGGTAGCAGGTGCTCATGACAGAGATGTGAGTCCTCATACAAAAAAAGCTATAAACACTTAATGCTCAGGCTCCTGGGGCAATGTTGCCACTACTTCTGCCACCAACACTACTAAGAAATAGGGGATTCAGCTAGCAGACCACTTGGGGCCAGTTCTGATTCATGAGCTTCTGTTCACCACTCTTTTTTAAGTGTTCATTTCTCAACAACAACAAAACAACCCCCTCTCCCATCACCTCACAGCTCACCCCCATTCCCACGCTCTCCTTGTCATTGCTGCTTCCTTCTCTTAGCGTCCTGAACCCCCGGCCTACCTGGTGGCAAAAGCCAGCATGTCAAGTCCCCAGTCCAGGGTCAAGCCACACGTCCAAAATCCAAACCGAAGCACAGTCCCACAGAGATCTAGGGTCCATCAACGTGGGCAGTGGGGCAGACAGAGCACCTCAGCTCTGCTGCCCTGTTGGCCTTTGCATGCTGGTTGCAGCATCTGGGCTTGATAAGGCAGGTGACCCTCACCTGTTCCAAGCTGAGGAATCACATCCCTCCTCCCAGAGCTAGCGAGCCCCACCTGGCCAGCTAGGAAGCTGGAATGTGGGCCCTTGCCTGCCTCAGCTCTGCCTGCTGCTCCCTATGCCCCAGAGCCCTCCATGTTAATGGAGACAGGGGCCCCTCTGCCTCTGGTGATGGGTCCTGCTGCTGTGGTTCCTGTGCCCTGAGCCCACCCTCCATCATCCTGTGAGTACTTCCTACACCAACCTCTCCTTCCCCATCCTCAGCTTGCCCCAGGGTGTCCTGGTCCCAGTTACACCCCTTGCTGGTATCCTCTTTCTCCTCCCCATTGTCCTGCCAGGTCATGACGCTCAGTGGCAGCAGCAGTGGTGGGGCCAGCAGAGAGAAAATGCCTGAGCCACCTACCTCGTTGCTTTCATCCTCTATCCACCTGCCTCCTTGCCTCCTTGCTTGCTTGCTTGCTCACTCCACCAACTTGCCCAGGGCTTCCCGTGCTTCTCTCACCACTTTAACTAGGCTGCACATGCACCTTTGGTTGGCGGTATGATGACAGGGACGCGGGTGGCGCTGTGGTCTAAACCACAGAGCCTATGACTTGCCGATCTGAAGGTTGGCAGTTCGAATCCCCGCGACGGGGTGAGCTCCCGTTGCTCGGTCCCTGCTCCTGCCAACCTAGCAGTTCGAAAGCACGTCAAGGTGCAAGTAGATAAATAGGTACCGCTCCAGCGGGAAAGTAAATGGCATTTCCGTGCACTGCTCTGGTTCGCCAGAAGCGGCTTAGTCATGCTGGCCACCTGACCCGGAAGCTGTATGCCAGCTCCCTCGGCCAATAAAGCGAGATGAGCGCCGCAACCCCAGAGTCGGTCACGACTGGACCTAATGGTCAGGGGTCCCTTTACCTTTACCTTTATGATGACAGAGAAGTGAAAACATAGTACAGAGCAGTGTTTCCCAACATTGCGTCTCCAGCTGTTTTCAGACTACAATCCCCAGCATCCATGACCGCTGGTCTTGCTAGCTAGGGATGATGGGAGTTACAGTCCAAAAACAGCTGGAGACCCAACACTGGTATAGAAAGAACTTTTATGCTGCAATCTAGATAAATTAAGTAGCACTTAAAGCACATTTAATCAACGTGTGAAGGTAGTCATGATTAACTTGTCTGTGAGACTTAAGTGTACTTGACTTTGCCCGAAAGTGGTTAAATGTGTAATATTGGAGCAGGGCCGGATTTAGGTTTGATGAGGCTCTAAAATATTGAAGGTAATGGGGCCCTTTATATGTCCAGCTGTCCTTTGTCAACAACAAATTGTCGCTGTTTTTTGTGTTGAATATATGCTATATGGTAATATATGGACCTAATAGGTATCTACAGCCATTTGCACATAACAAATAGGAGTCTATGCAACACAAAACACTGTTGCTGTATGTAGGTTTTATTTCATTTGTTTTTATGTTATTTTTTGGAAATGTACATCCAGTTTTTTCCTCTTTAATTTTTTTTGGGGCCCCCAAGAGAGTGGGGCCCTAAGCTATAGCTTGTTTAGCTTATACGTAAATCCGGCACTGTATTGGAGTCCCATCCTATAAGTGGTTGCGTGGAAGTAAATTTCACCGAGTTTACGGAGGCGCACTTCCAAGTAAGTGCACACGGGATGGCTACCTAAGGTGGGTAAATTTGCTTTATGGCTGAAAGGAGGCAAAAATGTAGTACTCTCACTGTGGCCGGCATCTGTTCTGGTACACATCTGTTTGCAATCCAGACAGAAACAATATACACTTTTATTTTTGGGACAATGAAGGAAGTTGTCTAGAAGTTTGAGAGGAAGTGAGGAAACGATAATTCTTTCAATGTGATGTTTCCAGTATTTTTACTGCGGCTCTAAGCCCTGCAAATAGCATGTTAGGGGAAGGCAAAATTATAAATGCTTATGAATTGTTGTATAAAAGGCGCATAGCGAGGTGAAAATAGAGTTGTGACACCGTATTCTTAAAAAGTAATGATAAAATAAATGGAATACTGAGGTTCACTGTGGTCCACAGCCTAGTTCACCCAATACCACATGTTTAGTTTATGAGAGTTAGGCCACAATGAATCTGTCAGTCTCAAGGTGCCCGAAGCTCCCATTAGTTAGTGTGGTAACTGCTATTCTGAAAATACAGATGTTATTCCCTGCTGCTGCCAGAATATTGTTTTCAATACATGAAAAGGATTTGGAGACGAAAGCTATTATAAGCTGTACTATTTCAGGCTCTCTTTCATAATGTGGTAAAAAATAATAATGCGTGAAAACATCATGTAGGAATCTGGGAGAGATAAGACAAGATGTGTCCAATATACGCTGGAAAAGGTAGCCATATACTTTAATTTAAGCCAGATTTGCACAGGGGGAGCCCTTAAATAGAAGACACCTTCAAAGTGAGGGCTGCCTTCTGACTGCCCTTCAAAACAGGATGGTGCTAAGGCTGAGCCTCACTGAATTAAAGGGATGAAATGGCAGCAACTCATCTACCAAATTCCACTTCACAGTGTTGTGCCCTAGCAACCGAGGCAGGCTGTGAATCAACATGCCAAAGGAAATGCCAAGAGGGATTTGTGTTCCTGAGAATGCTGAATGATTTACTGCCATAGAAGAGTAACATTGAGTAATGTTGTAAACCTTGTTTTTGGTTTTATTAGGCAAGGTTTGTAATACAGTGGTACCTCTGGTTGTGAACGGGATCCGTTCCGGAGGCCCGTTCGCAACATGAAAAGCCTGCAACCTGAAGCGCCGTATCTGCGCAGGTGCGCGGCACGATTTGGTGCTTGTGCACATGTGGGATTGGCGAAACCTGGAAGTAACCCTTTTCGGTACTTCCGGGTTGCTGCGGAACACAACCTGAAAAAACGTATCATGAAGCAAATGTAACATGAGGTATGACTGTACTAGATAAGGCTCAGGATCATCAGGAGTCGAACAGGGCATTTTATATAAAATAAAGGAAAATGCTTTTCCAAATGCAGAATTATCTAATGACAAGGGGCTAAACTACACTATTAAAATGCTTTATAATGCCTGGCTTCCCTTCACTGGAATTCTGGGGTTTTTCCCCCCTGTGAAATTGCAAAGAGTGTGGCGTGATTGACTACTGCAGAATAACACACGGTGTGGCGGCCACTTCAAATGTTTTTGTAGTGGAAAAACAATCTACGACACACATACTATCCACAACCATGGGGGCCTGCAGTGTAAGTAAGGCTCTCAACATGAGCATGAAAGTCCGGTTCACGTGAGTCTTCTGATATTTTGTGAGGAAGGAGAGCATATTGCGAATGAATACTCCATGGGATTGGGCATTATTTTGTACAGAGGACCCCGCTTACTCTGCAAGTTACGTCTCCTGGAAGGAAGGGACTCCTGTTCAGGCCTTTGAGGCACAGGCTCCTGACACAAATTTGCTAAAGATAAGAAATGCAAATTTGTATGTATAGACGCCTGCCTCTTGGAAATTAAGATAGTGGGTGTTAACGGAGGAATCTGAGGGCTCCCTTGGGCAAAAAACAAGACACCAACCAGGACAATTTGGAGCAAAACAGCAGCCTGTAGGCTTGGCCTGTATTGGAAACTGTCGCGACAGGACTCCCACCCACAACAAGATGAAGCAAAATGGAAGCCCAGAACAAAAGAAGACCCCAACTTTTATTAGTTACTAATCCCCCAAACTACACCCCTAAGACTACATCACAAAAAGGAGGGGTTGAGGGAGGAGTTGTGGAGGTAACCTGAGTATCTTGTCACCTGGCTGGTTCCTCCTTTCCCTCCCTCCCCATGAGTACTTTCCAGGTGACAAAGGAGAGTTTGCAGTTTCCTGCCCCCAGAGGGAAGAGCTGATCATTGTTCCAGTCCGTGCTGAATCCACTCCTATATGCAAGTTCTTTGTGACCTTGATGGTCTTCTGTTTATGGCCATCAGGGTTGGCATAGCAACTGGGCAGGGCTCCTGTGTATGTGCTGGTATGCTCAAGGGATTATAGCTGCCCTGTATCAAACCTTCCCCGTTTTGTAGTCCTTCCTTCATGGAGTAAAATAAAAGTGGAACGGTGCTGATCCGATGTATGGTTGATTTTCTATGAATTTATAACAGAAGCGTAGTGTATTTTATGTGTGTGTGTCAAGTTTGTACAAACTGAATGATTGGGGGGGGGGGGGTTCCTGTGACAGTGGGTGACTTGGATTTCACCAGCATTGAATTTTGCAGTTTGCCCAGCTGCCCTATCAGCAAAGGGATTTTGGTTTGGTGTTTTAAAAAAAAATAACGAGGAAGAAGGAGCAAGAAATTTAGTGCATGCTGCAAAAGACCCGAGGCTTGGGGCACCCCATACCAATCTTTCGCCCCACAACTTATCTGCTCACACTGCTCTTTCCCACTGCTGTTGTAGCACTCAGTTCTAGTGGAGTGGAGCATCACATGTTTTTCCTGACCACAGTTTTCACCTTCTTGGCGCAGCTATCTCACACGTTTTTTCCAGAACTATGCCTGCAAAAGAAAGCAAAGTAACAGATTTCTCACTCTGTTTGGAAATGAGAGGAGCCCAGCCCATGGTAACATAAAGCAGGACAAAATGAATTGAGGCACACACCGTATCCTAGAAAGTCCTCTGTGAGTGCAAACCACAAGGAGGAAACAGTCTGGCTTTCTGATATTTTTATCCTGAATTGTGGCTGCTCAACTCAACTAATCTGACCAGGACCAAATGTCAAATTCTAACGAATTGTCATGATTAAACTGTGGCGGAAGAACAGCAGGACAGCAAGGCCACTAAATTGCAACCATCTGCTTTCCCTTCATCCCTGTTTTTGCTTGACCTTGGCAGATCCTTCCTACGTGAAACGGGACATTCAGCCCATAAAGCCAAATAAAAAATATTTTTAATATGTACAAAAGTTTCACTGCTGTTACTGATAAACTTAACTTTGTAGCGGTTGTTGTTGGTGGTCCTTGTTAAACCTGCAATGTCTGTCTAACCGCAGCAGGGCAGAAGAATGAGAGAGAATATCCTGAGCAATGATGCCTGGCTATAAGAAGAGGTTCCGGAACATTCCTGCACACAGTTGTCATTCCCTGCAAATTACCTCTGGCTGTTTTTACCTGTTGAGGCTTATGTCCAGAGCACAGCTAGGTGTGGGTGGGTGTGTAGCAGAGCGGGATTAAAAACTGGTGTGCAAGTGTTAAGCACCCTCTCCGACTTGCTGATTTCCCCCTACAAATTATATTTCATCCACATCATGAGGGAACCTCAGTAATAGGAAGCCCACTCTGAAATTCTAATCCATTATTATTTCTTCTTCTTTGACAAATAATAAGAAACAATTGAGAATAAGATATAGTTTGTCATGGCAATTTCTTATTTGTGTCTAATGTCAGCTGCTGAAATGCAAAAATTAAAATGTATTAGGTAAATCCAGGGCCTGGTTTAGGTTTGATGAGGCCCTAAGCTACTGAAGGTAATGAGGCCCTTTATATGTCCAGCTATCCTTTGTCAACAACAAATGGTCACTGTTTTTTGTGTTGAACATATGCTATATGGTAATTTATGGACCTAATAGGTATCTAAAGCCCTTTGCCACTGTTGCTGTATGTAGGTTTTATTTGTTCTTTATCTTATATTTTGGAAATGTACATCCAGGTTTTGTTTTTCTTTTAAAAAATTTGGGGGCCCCCAAGAGAGTGGGGCCCTGAGGTTTAGCTTGTTTAGCTTATACGTAAATCTGGCACTGGGTAAATTCAAAGGACTGGTTCTCATGGAAGAATTCCATCTGCTGAGATGCTCCGTGATGCTCTATTTTTTGTTTTTTGCTCAGTATTTCAGTCTCCAGTGACCTGTTTCTTATTGATTTCTTTGACAGAGTACATTACTGCAGAACAGCTATTTCTTTATTTCTTTGTTTTCACAGTTGGTCAGCCTTCACAACTACTTTGGAGAATTAAGAAAAATAGTTTAGCAAACAAGATTTATCTGAAGCAAACCGAGCACTTGGGTGGCGGTGTGGAATTCATTGAGAGGCAGCTTACATGGTTACATACAACCAAGACAACCCTGTCTCACTAAAGCTTTTGCAGAAGGTCTGCATTCGTTGCATCCTTATCTTGAACAAACTGTTTGCTTTAAGTTGGTCCCAAGTCATCTCACTCAGAGCAATGCCAATTAGGGATCTTGTTTTTGACAACTGACGATTTTGACAACGTGAATAGGCCTTTTGAGAGACCATCTTGCCCTGAGGGGAGAAGAGAGGAAAGAAGACCTGTTGCCACACAGCTTCCAGCGGTGGATAAATGCTTCTATCCAAGCTTGAAATTGACCTGCATTTACTCTACCCCTGCAAAACGACGAAGACTTCCCCCTTCGGTTGTTACCTTCTGGGTTCATTCATGAACCAAATTGTTCCATTGCTGTCCAACTCACAGAGGACATCTGTGTGAACAGGAGAGCCTTCCATATCTGTGTGTGACACCTGCATGTTTTAGAACTTTGTTTTCCAGGCTTGCAAAATAGATTGGGAGCTCCAAGCTCCAAGCAAGCTGTCTGCTCCACACAGCTGGCCTTCAAATGGAGAGCAGCAGAGACAGTTATGGAGTCTGGCACAGCTGGTATGTTTGCCACACAACCCTTGCATGTTTTCTGAACCCAGAAAGGTAATACCTGAAGAGGGCCATAATTGGATTCAGGGCACAGGGGGAGGAAAGGTGGGAAGTTCCCTTGCACAACCAATATGCTCTCCGTTTCAAAAAAAATAAATGTTTATGGGACAGGCAAAGGCTTCTGCAGCCAGCAGAAAGCATAAGCAAGAATGCCTTAAGGAGTGTATTATATTATAGAAATATAACATGCAGGGTTGCTACTCTGAAAATCAGAGTTGCTGTGTAGTGTAATAACAAAAAGACATTAGCAATCTGTTTTTTTCCCCCCAATAACAGGACTACATATCTATGATTAGTTTCAATAAGACCCTTGGTGTCCTAATTACTTTGCCTCACCCATGTGCTGAATGACTGATCCTTCCATAATCTGCCAGGTTAAAAGGTTGGTAGGCAGTGTGTATTGCATATTTGAAATATACTTTGGAGAACCGTTTTGTTTTTGCTTAATTCCTTATGTTAGACTGAGGGCAGTGGAAAAACTGCTGACTTGTGGTCATGAGAGGGAACTAGCTACGAGCAATTTCCTTAGCTGTGCTCCTCTGAAAGGTCAATAATAGATGACACATTTTCCAAGGAGGAAGTTGCAGACTCACTTGTTGGCAGTCTGGGCAAAGTGCAGGGGCTATTTGGAAGTGAGTCAGCACTCCAGGTATGCACAGGGTGCCCACAATCAGGATACAGTCCAGTCTTTTAAAAATTGTTTTAATGTCCCCAAAATTAGCAGTAGCTGGATGTGCTATGACACTTCTTGAAATAATCAGATCATTGTGATATTACAAGTTGTCCTGAAGCCCTTGTTCACGGTCAGAGTCGGATACTACAATTGTGGCTGAAAAGGTGGCTTTGGGATTGTATGTTTAAAATGTTTCTATCCTGCCTTTTGCCTTCAATTGTCACTGATGGCTCATAACAATAAAATCCACAATAGCAATTTCATAGAATCTAAACAGCAGCACAAAAGGATATAACCCGATTCTAGCCATTGACTTTTATTTTTTTTTGTCTTGTTCAAACCATGAATTTAGTCTAATTTCATGCTGGAGGCAGAAGCTCAGGTATTTTACAGTTGGTGCCACAGGAAAGTTGACTTAGTACTTAATTGGAAAGGTTGTCAGGTAAGCTTTATATACATGAAACAATAAACAAGGCATGTGGCAGGAAGAAAACAGTTGTATTTCACACCATTTTCACAGTCCAAGATACAGTGGTACCTCAGGTTAGAGACGCTTCAGGTTACAGACTCCGCTAACCCAAAAATAGTACCTCGGGTTAAGAACTTTGCTTCAGGATGAGAACAGAAATCGTGGTGAGGCAGCAGTGTGGGGCCCCATTAGTTAAAGTGGTGCTTCAGGTTAAGAACAGTTTCAGGTTAAGACCTCCAGAACGAATTAAGTTCTTAACCGAGGTACCACTGTAATTCAATGAGGAGCTGGACTTTATGGATAGATGAGCTTTCTGCAAAATAAATTGCACACCTTTATTTCCTCCAGCATTTTTACTCAGCAGAGCAGAAGTAAACTCCCTTGAAATGCAGGAGAGCAAACAAGCCAAAGAAATGCAATCAGGTGATTTAAGGTAGGGTTCTTTCTCTCTATATTTAAAAACTAATTGAAATCCCCCCCCTAAAAGTTATTTTGCTACAAAACTGATTGATAGAGAAGAGGTAAATTTGAAGCACTGTAATATTTAAGGTAGGGTCTCATTTTCTATAGTAGAAACTTGGTTTCTAAGCGGTATTTATTTTTAGCAGAGGAATGTTGCATGCGTTTGACAGACACAATTATTGGACTATATGTGCAAGACTGGAGTCATCTTTTAAAATGTCTGCACCACGATCCCAGTCTTTCTCAGCCCTTGCTTTGCTCCCATTTCAACTGCACTTACACCTATCACCCCAACCCTACTACAGACCTATGCAAGAACATATTTTGTTAAGTTGCTTAAAGCATAGCTTTCTGGAAAGTTTGGCAGTTAGGAAAGCAGCAAGATAATGCACTGAAAAGTATGGGTTAGGCAAATGACTAACAGGAAGATGCAGTGCTATTTCTCTAGAAAAAGAGATGCCAGAATTCTCCATGAACACCTCCCTTGTTCTCTTATAATGGCAATGGTGCCCACCTGAGAGGTGCAAAAACTGAGTTCCGGTGAGTTCTGGCTGAACCCCCCCCCCCCCCGGGAAGATACATAAACAAATAAGCAAGCAAATAAGGATAAATTCAAGGTGATTGCTCATTTTTTTATAACCTTCCCATAAACCAATCATGACTAATGCTCAATACAGAACAGACATGGTCTAACCTCCATGTTAGGTCTGTGCAAGCAAATCAGCATAAATGATTACAAGGCAGGTCATGTGGAGCAGCCCTTAAGTGAATCTGGCTTGACCAGCCCATATTCTTTTTTCTCCCACTTTGAAACTGTTATGTACTGAAGTTCTCACCCTGGGCCAGCAGGGGGATACTGTAGTTTTCACTCAGGTCCACATATGCAAATAAGGGATTGAAAGTGACGTTCAGTGATTGGATAGTTACAGAAAATGGTTACTGTTGCGTTCTAGTGGAGCTCTATATAAGCAGGCTGGCTGAACCCTTCAGTTCAGTTCTGTTCTGGCCTGTGAATAAACAAGAGCAATTTGAAGAATCGCTGTGTTGTCTGATATGTTCACCCACAACTTAACAGAAACCCCCCTGCTTCCTTCAAAACAGAAACGTCGTTTACCTTCCTGCCGGAGCAGTACCTATTTATCTACTTGCACCTTGACGTGCTTCCGAACTGCTAGGTTGGCAGGAGCAGGGACCGAGCAACGGGAGATCACCCCGTCACGGGGATTTGAACTGCCGATCTTCTGATCGGTAAGTCCTAGGCTCTGTGGTTTGGAGAAATGTTGGAGGGTATTCTTCAGATGGAGGCAGGATTGTCATCAGAACTACAGTGGGGTAGAAAGGGTTCAGCCCTCTTTTTCCATGTGCCCCAAGCCTGATCCTGATTGGCCCTCTCCCATGACTGTATTTAGGGGGGACGAGACTTGGGGGAAATGCAATTAAAGTCATGTCTGGTTGGCCCTGAGTGGCAGTTCACTTACGTGTGAAACTGAAGGAGTGCGGTCAGGGATATCACCAGGCCAAAGAGAGGGCAAAGATTTGGAAGTATTTACACCAAAGTACTGTACAAGCAATAATTTTCAGACCAATTTTTAAAACATGTCTTTTGATCTATGAACACATTTTTCTCCCGGTTCAAGCATGCGCTTCAACAGAATAACTTCAGTCAGCCACACTGAATTCCCTGTTTCTAGATGACGTTTGTCAAAAGTGTCGATTTAGACAGGCGATCAGATTTATGTGTTGGTTCGGGGAAGTGCTCCAACAGTATATGGCAAAGCAATTTTGGAATTTCTGGATGGAAATGGGGTATCATTCTTGTGCCCAAGTCGTCTCTGCTCCCCCATTAGGCTCTTTTGGCTCACAGCTCAGCTGTGTGAAGCTGGTTACGCTACAGTCAGGAGGCTGGCTTGTCAGAATCAGCAGAGAATGCATCACCATTGTGCATTATGACATGGTAATTTCCACCTTATGGAAACGCAGGTGATTGGTCACTTGACCTCTGAGTACAATGAAGCAGTCATAAGAGCCATCCCTAGTCAATTCCACCACCCCACCAATCTTTAACACTATTATATGTGCCCTTGAAGAGTAGCAGACTTCAGCAAGTGCTCCAGACTCCCTTGATTATTATCTTTGTGCCTAACTTTGTAAATATCTATTATAAAGGTAAAGGGACCCCTGACCATTAGGTCCAGTCATGGCCAACGCTGGGGTTCCTGCGCTTTATTGGCCGAGGGAGCCGGTGTACAGCTTCCAGGTCATGTGGCCAGCATGACTAAGCCGCTTCTGGTGAACCAGAGCAGCGCACGGAAACCCCATTTACCTTCCTGCCGGAGCGGTACCTATTTATCTACTTGCACTTTGACGTGCTTTTGAACTGCTAGGTTGGCAGGAGCAGGGACCGAGCAACAGGAGCTCACCCTGTCGCGGGGATTCGAACCGCCGACCTTCTGATCGGCAAGTCCTAGGCTCTGTGGTTTAACCCACAGCGCCACCCGCCTCCCTAAATATCTATTATACTCCATCTTTTTTAGCATGAGATTTTAGCTGCCATTGCCAGCAGAAATGGTTAAGAATTCCAGCTTCCAATAAGAAATTTGTTTTCTTAAAAAGCTGCTGCTGGCCCTCCCTCCTGCTGTATTGGTGATGTGACTTCCTTGGCTAACCAAGGTGAAAGGAGCAGCCGACTTGTGTTTTCATAATGAATCTCGTTGTTTTCACAAAACCTACTCAAGGAAGTCGCCCACTTCAGTGAGTTGACTTAAAACGTCAAGTTTCTAAACCTCTGAGCTGCAGGAGGCAAAATTCTTACAGAAAATGCACTGTAATGGTTCTGAAGGGTGGGGGACGAATGGAAGAAATACAGCTTATAGACAGCTCTGTGCTGCTGGAAATCATAGTAAGTTAAATATTGTGGTTTGTCCAAGGTAAGTCGGGTTCAGAAGAGCATCCTGGGTTTTTTTACAGGTGTCAAACAGTGTGTTTGTGAGACAGGAAGACAAGGAGAATATTCACATGAGGCAATTCATGGCAAGGTGAACAAAGGCTGTATTTTGCCTCGCTGTAATCTGTAGTATTAATAATCTCTTCTGCCCCTACCCTACCTGAGTGCTTACATCTGAATTGACTTCTATGGTATCTTTCTTGTTTATTTCTGTTTTGTCCGCATGCTATATTTTCTTCCAGTGCTATTTCTCTCAAATTGCACTGGTTTTCCTTTTCTAAATTAAACCATCAGATCTACACTGGAATCTGGTGCCCCTGTGGATCCTGCCACCGGAGGCAGTTACCTCAGCTTGTCTCAAGGGTGGGCCGGCCTTGATCGCCAATTTCCCTCATACTATTTTCCGATCAATTTTAGCAGGAAAATTGAGGCTCTCATCCAACAAGCAACTGTCTACGTGTATGTGTATCTTAAGAACTGAAGTTCTGATGAGACCAAAGCTGAGAAAGACCATCCTTTTGCAAACTACTGGAACTTCTTGATGCAAGTTTTAGTCCTGAGTGTTTGCCCTGAACCATCTTTCTTTTGTGTTAGACTAGAGGAAGTTCGGTGTAATCCAGTGTGTTTCAGCATATCATAAGTAAATCACTGTAAACTCCAGAAATAAAGGCACTCATTATTTCATTCTCCATATACCAAATAGGACAAGCTGAATGTTTCTTTTCCACACAGGAGATTCCAGTCCTACATCTTTTTACCACTGCTACTTAAAAGGAAGTTCTGGTTGCACACAACATGAGCTGCTATTCTCCTTGCCTGTTTCCTCTGACTGACCAGGACAAGACTTCCTTGCAGACTTTTGATCCGGTGAGGTTACTTTTACGTCAGCATCTGGATCCTCTTTATACCCCTGAAATAAAATCAGAACACTGTTTCTGATTCATTCGATAGTTGTTTTTCTCTACCAAAGATTTACTGAGCAGCCGTTTCCTTCTCTGCCTACCTACTTTTAATTTGTTGGATCCACTTTAAGGCATGGGGGTGGGGAAGAAGATGTCCTCAAAGAGGCAGCAGGCTTTCTCGAGTTAAAATAAATGTGTACATAGCTAAGAGAAGTGGAGAAGTGGAAAGCACATTCTGAATCACTGGCTTCCTGAGGTGAGCGTAAAAGCAATGAGATGTGAAGAGCAAAGAAATGCCAACCTTTCCACTGGGTGCCACGTGATTCCATCCCTGGTGGTTCTTTATAGCACCTAATTGGGAAGCTACGAAGTTTCTGCAGATGCTCTTCAAGTGAGATTAAAGTGAGATTAAAAGTATGGCTTTCCCAACCTGTGTTTTCCTTCCTCATATAACAAATGTGGGGACAGGTGGGCACTTGTCGTTCGGTCCCAGCGCCTGCCAACCTAGCAGTTCGAAAGCACCCCCAGGTGCAAGTAGATAAATAGGGACCGCTTACCAGCGGGAAGGTAAACAGCGTTTCCGTGTGCCAGATGCAGCTTGTCACGCTGGCCACGTGACCCGGAAGTGTCTGCGGACAGCGCTGGCTCCCGGCCTCTAGAGTGAGATGAGCGCACAACCCTAGAGTCTGTCAAGACTGGCCCATACGGGCAGGGGTACCTTTACCTTTTTTATGTTTTCTCCACTAGCAGCATTTCCTCAAACTTTCTTGTTGTGGATACCAGGATTTTAATGCAATTGGCCTGCTTTGCGGCGGTGTATTCCCCACCACCCCAGACAGAGGTAACCTCAGGATGAAAAACAGGGAACATTTTGAAGGAACTGTTGAAAACCCATTGAAAGCGGATTTCATGTTTAGCGATCCCTCGTAGCCGAGTAAGATTCTCTACCACGATCACAGTTTCAACAGTGAGTCTGTAAGTGACTGTGGAGGCCAATTCTGGATCCACACGTCCTTCCACAGTGGGGACATAGGTTTCTGGGTGGGAGTTGATCACGGTGAGGGTGCCTTTCTCTTAGCATGTTTTGTCCTGAGTTTGAGCGTCTTCAAAGTCCATGACACCTTTGGTAAAGGCTGTTCTTCAATTGGAGCACTTGCAGGCCAGCGTTTCCCAGTTGTCAGTGTTCATACTACTTTTTTTTTTTTTTTTAAGCATTACAGTGGTACTTCGGGTTACATACACTTCAGGTTACAAACACTTCAGGTTACAGACTCCACTAACCCAGAAATAGTACCTCGGGTTAAGAACTTTGCTTCAGGATGAGAACAGAAATCGTGCTCTGGCGGCGCGGCAGCAGCAGGAGGCCCCATTAGCTAAAGTGGTCTTCAGGTTAAGAACAGTTTCAGGTTAAGAATGGACCTCCAGAACAAATTAAGTATTTAACCCGAGGTACCACTGTAGAGCTTTTAAGCCAATAGCAAAAACAAAAAATGAAGCTGATTAGTGTTACATGCTACTCCAGCTGTAAGCAGTGTGAGATACCAGGAGCCCAGCTGCTTACCCAGGGTCCGTGATTCCCTTTGGAGGCACAGGGGAGACGGTAGTGTCTTTATGATTATTCATTAGGTTATCCATGCCGTTTCCTCTTGGCACAGGTCCCAGCTGAATGAAAAAGGAAGCGGTGATTGCAAGCTTGGTATGCATCCACCCACCCACAGTGCCTTTGTGCTGGGACTGCCAACATCTGTTTTCAAGTGTGCACTGCAGTGTAAAGCAGAATCAATCTGCATTCGTAACAAACCAGTTTCTCGCAAAGCACTTTTCAGCGGCAAAAAATATGCAGTAGATCTAGATTGTTTGTAGACTACGTGGGTTGGGGGGCTAAGTGCTCAGTCTCCATTGATTCTAGAACAACACGTTTGTTTGCACACAGACTCTATGTGTCGAGGTAAGGTTAGCCAGAGTTTTGCAGATTGGACGGCATTGGACAGCTGTGTATCTATTGCCCGACAACAACTACTTTTATTATTAGATTTATATTCCACCTAATGTCCAGATGGCTTCTAAAAGTGATTTACAATGGCTTATTTAAATAAACGGCCCATTGTACAAATTTGCTCAATTCACGATAATTTTTTAAAATATGCAGTAAAAATTCCCAGGTCAAGAGATCATGGGGAAGCCTTTGCAAACAGGTGTGTCTTCAAAAGCCAGTGGAATGCCATTACAGGCAGGGCCTCTCATATTTCACTGCATTCCACAGCACTGGTGCCACCAGTGAAAATGAAAATTCCTCCAATAGCTAATATGTGGCTGGCCAATTTATTTACATGTGGCAAAATAGGATATAAAAGTTTGAAACTAGTGAGTAGTGCTGTGCCAAAACTATTTATTCAGTTTTGTTTTCACTGTTATCCTTAAATACTTCCATTTTCCATTGTGCTTTTTAGAGTTCCCTTAACGTTTTCTCTACCTTTTAAATCTAAAATTAGGTCTCTACAGTTTCCTCAGAGCATGATATTCTGGAGGTATTTTTTTTCCGAGGGGGGGAATCATTTTTGTGTAATGTGAAAGTATGTTTGACAAAAGATTGAGAGGGAACTTCTTTAGATTTTGGAAGAATAACATTTCTCTGTGTAAATACTTACAGCTCTGATGAGTTGGCATCAAGTATATGTCATAGAATAATAGAATTATAGAGTTGGAAAGGATCCTCTAGGGGTCATTTAGTCCAACCCCCTGCAATGCAGGGATCTCAACTAAAGCATCAATGATAGATGGCCATCCAACCTCTGCTTAAAAACCTCTAATGAAGGAGAGTCCACCATTTTCCAACGACATCCGTTCCACGGTTGAACAGCTTTTACTGTCGGAAAGTTCTTCCTGGTGTTTAATAGGAACCTCCTTTCTTGTAGGGATGCAGGTGGCACTGTGGTCTAAACCACTGAGTCTCTTGGGCTTGCTGATCAGAAGGTCGACGGTTCGAATCCCCATGACGGGGTGAGCTCCCGTTGCTCTGTCCCAGCTCCTGCCAACCTAGCAGTTCGAAAGCACGTCAAAGTGCTTCCCGGCGGGAAGGTAAACAACATTTCCATGCGCTGATCTGGTTTTAGTCATGCTGGCCACATGACCCGGAAAAACTGTCTGCGGACAAACATCAGCTCCCTCGGCTAGTAAAGCGAGATGAGCGCCGCAACCCCAGAGTCATTTGCGACTGGACTTAACTGTCAGGGATCCTTTACCTTTTACCTTTCTTATAACTTGAAGCCATCGGATGAAGTCCTACCCTCCAGAGCAGGAGAAAACAAGCTTGTTCCCTCTTCCATGGGACAGCCCTTGAGATATTTAAATATGTCTATCATATCTCCTCTCAATCTCCTCTTTTCCAGACCAACATACCCAACTTCCTCAAGGCTTGGTTTCCAGACCGTCAATCATCTTGGTTGCCCTCCTCTGCACACGTTCCAGCTTGTCAATGTCCTTCTTAAATTGTGGCACCCAGCACTGGAAAGTAAATGGTCAAACAGTCTCATAAACCAATGTAGTCATGTTGAAGAGAACAACAAAAGAAGGTATTCAAGGTTTGGTTTTTGACCTCCAGCTCGTTCTGTACCATCTACAGGACAGTGTCCAGGTTTTTGAGTTCATAACTGAGGTTTTCAAGGGGTGTGTGTGAAATAACATACTGGGTTTCTGAAACATGACCAAGCCAAAGTGACTGAAAATAAGTATTTCCTGGGGACTGTAAAACACAAATTGAGCACTGGTTCACTCCTTGTCCTCAGGATGTGGTTGCACTTTTGGCAATACCATCTCATTTTGGCAATGATCCTGTGACAGATGGGGAATAAAATCAGGAATTAAACAAGAGTCCTTTAAACCTTATTTTCCCTCCTCCCTTCTAGGGCTCAGATACCCTCATTCACCTTGGGTTTCTTCCTCCAGTACTCTGTTATATACAAACACTTGTTTTTATCATGGAATTGAACCTGTGGCAAATTTATTTCACTTAAAGTGAGTTGGATCCAGACTTATTTTCAGCAGGGATGTTTGCACACTGGAGGAAGGCAGCAGCAGGGGCAGACTTTGGTGATATGGCACCCTGAGCGAGGACAAAATTTGGTGCGCCCTCTCTTAAATATTTCTTATTTTCACAATAATCCCTTTTGGTACCGTTGCTTTTTAATGGCTCTTCTCAGCAGATACCCATGTGCACCGACCCCTCTTGCTCTCCAGGCTTCAGGAAGCTATCCGTAAGCCTTGCGAGCCCGGCGGGGGTGCCACAACCCTGAGATTTACAGTCTCATGCTCTACCAGTTGAGCTATCCCAGCAACATCTTGTTGGTGGCGCAAATCTGCTTCGTTTTTATTTCATTTCTTGTGTACCATCCAACTACCATCCAACTAACCTCTCGGCAGTTCACAAATTAAAATCCATAAAATACAAATGCCATAAACTTAAAACGGTTACGTTCTAGGACTGGCGCTCCTATTGTAGGAACGTGAAACCAATGTGAATCAATGTAAAGTCAATCAGAGCAGCGTGAAGACCTGGCGAGGGGAGAAATTGAGTAGTTGTGTCCTTGTGCGTGTGCCACAAAAACCCTGTGCTACAAAATCCAGAGGCTGTGTAGCAGATGTACAAGGATTCCATTGCAAATAAGTATGGAAAAGGTTTTCTGTGTGCAGGAAGTTGGAAAACCACTGCCAGAAGTGACTTAGAGATGTTTCATATATTACCAGCAGGTTACAGGGGGAGGTTTATAACAGGGCTGCTCCCACACTGCTCCCTGCTTCAAGGAAATAGATCACAGGGTGGGTAATGTGGTTTCTTCCCTTGCCAGTATTGCTTTGTAAAGTATTAGCTGTCCTTTAATGGAGTAACCTGAGAATAGGAGGCAAATTACTTTTTCCCGCCTTGAAAGTAAAAGCTTAAAATGCATATGTTTCGACTGTCTAGAGCATTTAATGCCATGGCCCTACAGTCACAAAAAGTTTAAATTTCCATTGCCCTCAGTACAAAGGTTAATTCTCTAATCATGGAATGATAGGTAGCAGCTAGAGTAAAATAAGAATATCTATCTATCTATCTATCTATCTATCTATCTATCTATGTTTCCAAATTGGAGGGTGGCAGAAAGAGAAGGTCAACACACGTCTCTCTTTCTCTCTCGGTTTCTTTTTCATTTTAAAATCCTACTACGTCAGAACCAAACGGAAGAAAACAATTAGGCAGAAACCACATGAAAATGGAAATGAAAACGTTTTCAAGTTTTGTCGCAGAGTGAGGTATACTTTGTCATTTGATGGTGATCGGGAAAGTGTAATGGGATTGTGGGTCTTCAGTACTATGTGCTTTTACTCTACCCACAAGCCCACACACTTCCTCTCAGTTGTTGTTGTTGTCGCTGCTGTTGTACTTTTGGACTTTATTCTTCCTGACCTGGTCTGTAAGACCAAAGGATTCCAGGAAGTATAGGATTGTGGGACACAAAGAGCCAAACGTATGCATCCACATGGGGTTTGACTCAGTTCACTGTGGCACTAATAATATATCTGGAACAGCCCATCATTTGCAAAGGTTTCTTGAGTATTCACTGTCTAGAAGTACATTCATATTCTTATACGTGTGAGTGCCAGATTCTCTGGCTCACTGCGAAGGAATCTCTGCTTTGCGGGGATCAAAAAACTGTGAACTAAATTTTGTGCACACATCTTCCTGCCTACAGTTTAAATTAGGGAGGGAACATATATCCAGAAAAAAAGGAAGCTGTTTTTCTTCTCTTGCCCTGATTTCAAAGTACAAAACATCAGGAAGCAATGTGAGAAAAAACTCAGCGTAAAAATGCTAACTAATAAAATGGTACGATAATTGCTATTGATCATGCCTGCATTGTCTGCTCTAGAGAGCCACCAGCAATGGATCAAACATAATGTTAATAATTGATGTCCTGAATCTGAAAAATAACTGGAAAAAAGGGGTGATTTATTAATCCTTAGATGTGCCAGTAACTTTGTGATAATGACATGTCCGATTTGAAGGGCAATCATTTGCCATTATGAAGATTTTGCAGGGTAAAAAATAAATAAACCCCACCCATCTGACTGGGTTGCCCCAGCCACTCTGGACAGCTCCCAACACATATAAAAACATAATGAAACATTAAATATTTTAAAACTTCTCTACATAGGGCTGCCTTCAGATGTGTTCTAAAGGTTGTATAGTTACTTATCTCCTTGGCTTATGGGTTGCATAATTCCACACTCTACAATATTTGTCTGATGAAAATAGGGACATCCTAAGGAAAAGTTGAGAGGGACATGGGTGGAGCTGTGGGTTAAACCACAGAGCCTAGGACTTGCCGATCAGAAGGTCGGCGGTTCAAATCCCCGCGACAGGGTGAGCTCCCGTTGCTCGGTCCCTGCTCCTGCCAACCTAGCAGTTCGAAAGCACGTCAAAGTGCAAGTAGATAAATAGGTACCGCTCTGTTGGGAAGGTAAAGGGCATTTCTGTGCGCTGCTCTAGTTCGCCAGAAGCGGCTTAGTCATGCTGGCCACATGACCCGGAAGTGGTACGCTGGCTCCCTCGGCCAATAAAGTGAGATGAGTCCGCAACCCCAGAGTCAGCCACGACTGGACTTAATGGTCAGGGGTCCTTTAAGGAAAAGCAGGACATTCCGGGATCAAGTCAGAAACCACGATGTCTTCTGTAAATCCTGGAAAACAAGGGCACTTGGAAGCTCTGCCTCTGTTTGGTCATTGTGAGAACAGGGTGCTGGACTAGATGGGCCACTGGAAATACCATCTTTCTGTCTCTCACTCTTTAGACATGCATTTTTCTTTGCATTCTGGTAAATGGTTTTAAATGCGGACCGGACAAGACCTTGGAGGAAAAGTCTACCAATGGCCGTTTCTCATGATGGTTATCTATTGCCTGCAGGATCAGAGGGGGTCAGTATGTTCTCTATAATCAGGTCCATTCAATGCTGGCCATGACTGGAGAACAGCAGCAGGAATAGACCTTTTGCCTCCTTGTGGGTTCTTGGGGAATTGTGTTGGCCACTGTAGGAAACAGGATTCTGGGCCTTTGGTGAGATCCAGCAGGGTTCCTCTTATGTTCATATGTGTGCAAATCTGGGGAGGGAAGGAGTGGTCAGGAGTACACTTTTACTGTAAGAAATTCAAGGTGCGTCTGTGTGAAGGAGACTGATTTGAATTTCCGCTAGAGCTGCAGCATGTGCTTAATTATAATGGTTGTAATGTGTTAACCAACAGATTGGTTCTGGGGGAACTTGTGCCTCCTCCTCCTCAGTTCCTCTCAGTATGTAGGTGCCTGTATGATGGTTCACCCTCAGCGCAGTGGCCCTGTGAAATATACTCAGAGTCAAGAGTGGATTTCAGCTCATTCATGCTCTTTATTCAGCTCATTCAGCTTATTCAGCGACAGAGGATGAGATGGTTGGACAGTGTTCTCAAAGATACAAACATGAGTCTGACCAAACTGAGGGAGGCAGTGGAAGATAGGAGTGCAGACTTCTGGGTTAGCGCCATCGGCAATGGCGGAGTTCCTCTGACTGAGAGGAACCCTCTCCGTGAAAATCGGGTCTTGCAGCCGCGGCAAAGGCGGAGACCCTCTAAAAATCCCAGGCGGAGGAAGCCTGGGAACATGAGATTCGGCTGACACCAGGAGCGCCTCCCCTACTCGCAGGGAAACCCTTTTTGGGGGATCCAAAGCGACGTGGGGTGAGTGGCGCGGTGTTTTGAATCAACCGCTACTTTTACGGAGTGAAGCCGCACAGCCGTTGCCGGAGAGCGCTGACTTTTTCCTGTGGACAATTGGACTCTAAATAAGTACCCGTGAGTAGAACGGAAAATTGGATAAAGAAACATTTTAATTTGGCACTGAAGCGGGAAGGCTCTAAACAGGAAGTCCGCCTTCCAGTTTTGTAAATAGATTGAAGCAAAAACTTTGTAAGCTAAAGTCTGGAAAGTCGTATATAAAGGTCTAAATTTCCTTCAGTTATTACCACCAAAACCCCTCTTGGAAGCAGGAGAAAAGGGGGGGAATTTTTGACTGTTCAAGCCTGCAGGAGAGAGAGTAAGGAAAGATAAATTTCCACCGTCTCAAACCTGGGAACGGGGTGTCAGAGACAGAAATTTATGGGGAAGTCCATCGACTGTGAATGGAATGTCTTTTGACAGATAGTAAAAAAAGAGAAACAAATTGATTCCAATGTTGCCTCTTGCATTCAAAAGAAACAAAATATTTGAAAAATGAAAGTAACTTTCTTTTGTTGGTCCTGCTTTCAAAAGATGGATACAAATAGAAATTGTCTCCTCTAGAGGGAGCTTGTTAATTTGTTGCCAGAGTCGATCTGGGGATTTCACAGCTGTAAGATTAGGATCGTGAGACCAGACTCTGACCTTGAATAAAAATGTGTTTAGAAGAAGTTTTGGTGCTTGCTTTTTGTAAGACAAGCGCTTTGCTGGAGCAGATGCATGAGAAGATGGATTTGATGACTGTTGCAGTTAAAAACTTTGGACAAATGGCGAATACTCATATAGAAACCATTCAGGAACCAGCCCAGGAACTTGTTTTGACAGGGCAAGCGCAAGTGCAGAAGATAACGGAGGAGGTTGCTGTTGAACCTCAAGTAACACAAATGGAGAGATCCGAGGCCTTGCAGGAGCATAAGCCGCTGTTTTTGAAGTTTGAATGTGGAATGGACCAGGGGGGGTCTGGAGTTGTGAGGGCTCTTAATTTTGGAAGGACCTTGAAACATGCTTTTAAATACCTCCTGGACTACAGTGTTGACTGTGGGGAATGGGACTGTGGGGAATGGGCTGATTTGCTGAGGGGAGATGGAGATATTTTTGGATTGGAGTCCTCCCGAGAGCTACCCCCCAATGAGAAAGCAAAGAAATTAAGAAAAAGATCAACAAAAGACAAAGTAAAGTGCAGATATAAACAAGAAGAAGATCTGCAGAAGGGACATGGAAAAGACTTAAGAGCCTCGGACATAAGATCACCAGGTTGATGGACTAGATGGAATGGACAAGAAGGACTGACAAAACCCGAGACCAGGAAGAAGAGACGTTGGATGAAGATTGGAAGAAAGTCTTTAAAAAAAATAAAATATTTTGAGAATTAGTGTAAAATTAATGAGTATTAGGAAAAATGTTGGAATGAAACTATCTGGCTTTAGTAGAAACGATATGAGGAGTTATGTACAAATAAGCATTAAGTTTTAAGTTTTAAGGTTTTTTTTATGGTAAGATAAGGTTAAATAAATTAAGGTAAATTGAATGACAGAATATAGTGAAAGATGGAAA